CCCAGTCCTCTACAATCTGTTCATAACCGTGAGGTTCGGCGTCTTCCCGGCTCGTCCAACTGACAGGCACAATTCAGGTAGATTTTCAAACAAATTTTATTAGAAGTTTGATATAGTTGTTTATTTGTATTAAATACATCTGAGGTTAAACAAAACGTACACATGAATGTCTTCAGATAACAGAAAGCGAATCTACGTTACAGGCTCATGTACTGAACTCACTTCCCCACGTGGAAACGAATTTACGACAGTCTTTGAAACTGACAGTCCCGCCTCGCCTTGCACGCAGACGTTTGCTCAGAAATGTGTTCAGGCCACAGTCTTCACCAAAGGAACAAACACAAACTCCACCGTGGCCACCAAGACAGGAGGTCAGGTGTTGTGGGGCAGAGGCGATACCAGAAAAGGATTTGGCAATGTTTCCGTCACAGTATTTGACATAAAGGCCCATTCTGTTCACTGATCAAACTCAAACATGTTGGGGCATGATATCCCATGGGCAGAAATATCACTGGATTCGATGCTCTCAGAAAGAAGCAGAGGGCTAACTGGGCAACCGCTTGCCAGGGACACGTCTAGTTCTAACAGGAATCTTCGCTGAGCCTCATCCATGCAGGATGTGCGATGTATAAACAAAATTCAAATACTCAAGTTCAAAATAAAGCTGTTTCCACCATAGAAGGGGAAGTAACCGGGGCAGCAGCAACGGGGAGGGCGGAAATGAGGAGATACAGGGAAGCTCTTCTAAAGTTTATAATCCAGAGAGGAAAAGAGGGAAACGGGGAAACTCCCAGGAGTATTTAAGTCACTGCAGGTAGTGTTTATGGAGGCACCTCCAAGATCTCTCTCGGGAAGTGTTGGGGAGTACATCTGGGGTGAATGAAACAGATGACGTGTTCTACGTGTCCTTAAAGCAATAGGAACATGGCACCTTTCCATATAACAAGGGAGACAATGTGCTTTCTCACTTGGATACAAAATCCAGGTGGCCCTGGTTCCAGGCCCAGCTCTGCCCAGTTCCTGCCCAACATGCAGAATGGCCCACATCTCTGTGTCCGTGGTTTCTGTTATGAAGGACCAGCTCACCAAGCTACTTAAAAAAGAAAGGGCCCAGGGAATGTAAAGTCACTTATTTGTGCAAAAATGCCAAAGAGAAGCTGAGCTGAGCTGGGCTGTGCAATAAACAAACAGCATAGGACTGCTTCAGCCTGTCCCAACCCTGCCCATGGCATCCACTGTTACCTACAGTACCTACCAGCTAACCACAGCCCCTGCGCATGTGAGTATAAACCCAGGCCCAGTTCGGGATTTGGGGATCTGGTTAAGCATAAGTTACTACTGATCATCAAAGAGGGTTAGTCCTTTGAAAAGCTTACTTGGAACACGTTGGTACTACTCAAAAAGCAACTTCCGGTACGTTCATGTCTCTTACCCATGAGCTCGTGTCCCTCCACGCCCAATGGGCACTGGCTGTCTTCAGACCAGTGCCTTTAGCAGCTTGCTCAGTGAGTGTCAACACTTTTACTTTTTTTTTTTTAAGTGCTTCAAAGTGCTTAAAGGAGTCTGGCTGTTCTTTTTAGCCTGCAGTTGAAGTTCAGGGGCAAAGGCAGGAATTGTGCACAGGAGATGATGGGAGGATGCGTCACATGAAAAGCCCACAGCCAGAGCCCGGCACAGGAACACTTTGCAAAGGTGGGAGCCCACCTTTCTGTGTCATTGCCGTTGGAATGTGGCTGAGGCTGCATCACTGAGGCTTCTGAGGTCGAAACAGTCTCCCATGAATAAAACTTTCAGTCCATGTTCCTGAAAGGCTAATTTCCTTTTTTGCCAGAGATCTTGTGACTTGGAAAATGATTGATTTTAGAGAGGAAGGGCGAAGAGAGAGAGAGACATTGATTATTGTTGTTCCACTTATTTTTGCATTCATGTGCCCTGACCGGGGATCGAACCTGCAACCTTGGCGTGTCTGGAAAACGCTCTAACCAACTGAGCCATCCCGCCAGAGCAAAATAATTTGTTTTGAAGATGGTGACAGAAAACAAGAACACCTTTCTCAAGGTAATGCTTTTATGAAGAATTGAAAGTAGCAGTTTAGCATTTGGGATTCAGGTAAGAGGTCAGGATTTTACCCTCCTGAATTACATCGATCTTGTTCTGGACAACACGTAAGGCCCAATGTGTGTGGCTCTGGGAACGGCGTGCGGCGATCCCAGGCTCTGCAGCGGCCGCGTGCTAGAGGAGAAGCGGAAAGGCAGGACCTGAGGCTGAGAGGACGAGTTCCCAGAATGCACACCGAGCAGAAGGAAGCAATCCTTCCACTGGCTCAGCCTTGGCAAGTTAACAGAACCCAGTCACGTTCGAAGCATCCAATACACAGATGTCAGCAAAAAACAGTTTTTAATCAGAAACTGGCTTCACATAGAATAAAAAAGTAAAAATATTTAATTTTATCTTCCATAAAGGATACTACAGAAATACTATTCTAAACCTCATAATTAGGTATGAAAAGTGAGATGCTAAAACTCCATTTATAAAGTGCGTTCATTACCAAAAATGGAGGGCAAGGACCTTTATTTACAAGGTTGTTTGTCCCACTGACAGAAAGGCAGCTACCCCGTAAGGAGGCGGCACAGGGGGGTGGGAAGCTCTTGACCTGGAGTGAGGAGGCCCGGGTTCTATTGGCTCTGCCGCTACTCATCTCTGTGACCTGGAGTGAAAGGCAGCTTTGGGGGCGTGGCATTCTCATCTGGAAAATGAGAGGTAGAACAGACGGCTTCAAAGGACAGGCGCCTTAGATGTCAGATTCTGTGTGAAGCAATGAAATACTTTTGCTCATGCTAGCAATCTATAAAATGGGTTCTAGTAGGAAAAACATCAGCAGACTCCAGCCAATGCATCTGGGGTCAACGACTGGCTGCTTTACAAAGTGCACAGGAGTCACAGTATTTTGGTTACTGGCATCAGTGCCGAGGCCTGGAAGCGAGGGAACCCCGGTGCCTCAGGCCCCTGCTGAAGGCGGTGTGGGGACTGTGAGGATGGCCGTGGGGAACACGCAGCTACATTTACACGCGGCCCTCCGACACAGGGATCGGCCAGGTAAGGGAGCTGCACAGAGTTGGGCAAGCCCTTCCTCTTGAGCAGTACAATCTAGACTTAACACAAAACTAGTGTGGATATTTCCGCGTGGGGAAGCTTACTTGGCAAGGTAAGCTTCCCCCTGAGCTGTAGAAATTTGTCCTCCGAGAATATTTTGGTTTTTAAAATATTGGCAAAGTTGTACTAGATACTCAGAGATTCCCCCCAAAGGTGAGCCCAACAAGAGGGATAGACTGAGTGTATTTTATAACAATAATCAAGTAGTCTTCCTCAGTGAAATGGGCTACTTTAGCGATACATCTGGGCCAACAACACTGATGAGACAAAGCAGTTCCTAAGAGTGAGGAAAGGTTGCTTTTTCTCACTGATCTCTTCTGGCTGCACACACACGTTGAGAGGCATTTCATTCCAGCATAACTGTCCGTGCCACCGACCACCTCTGGTGGCAGGCGCAAATCAGACTCCCGTCACCGGTACTCCCTATTCGCTGCCTCACTGAAGGGAAAGCCACACTCGTGCCTGTGTTGAGGGTGTTGTTGGTGCTACTACTTGCACAAAACTTCACTAGGAACAGGGCTCAGCGAAAGGCAGAACTGGACCCTCAGAACGCACTCGTACCTTTTACAGGCCACTGCAGATACTCCAGATGGGAAATAGCAATACAATCTCGCACAATTGGTTTCTAAGGGCGCACATCCCAGATCCCCGCCTTCGCCTGGCTGTCCTTCCTGGCATACACCTACGCCCCGAGGTCAGCCAGGCTCCTAAGTGCCGCTCCTCACACTGACGCGGGAGCAGCAGTGCCATTCTCGAGACGTGCCCTTGTATACCTCCCCTCCGACAGCGCAACAATGGTTTCGGCTCCGCACAGTCAACCGCAGGGCTCTCAGCGCTGGCACCGCCTGGCAGGCAGGAGACTTTTGAAAATACTGCTCAGTCTGCAGAAAGGGGACAGTCGGCAGCCCGTGGCCGCGGGCAGCTTAGAAAGGCAGGAAGGGCGCAGTCTAGTCCTCCTAACAGCGTCGTTCTTGACCATGGGTCAGAGACAGGGAAAAGGACACGCTAGAACTTAGACAAAACCAACAGCAATGTCTGCCGCACCTGTGGGAAAGTGCTGCTTCTCAATCTACAGTCGAAACAGCCATTTCCATCCTGCAGTCTGCAACCTGCTAAGTCGCAAGGGAAGGAGCACCGCGACAGAAGGAAGTACAATGGAAACGCCAACCACGTCAGCATCTCATTAGACGGAATGTGTAAGTGGACTGGTCGAGCACCTGTCATCTCCAATTGCGATTCTGCTTTTCACACACAGGAACCTAGAAGTGAACTTATTTGTGAGTCCTGAGATGCTGTGTGAGGGGGCGTTCTGCTCCCACGTTTGCTTGTGCGCCCACAGTCCCGGCGTAGGGACGTGCAGCTCTGGGCGTCTGTGTGAGGCCCGCACAAGCAAGCCTGGCGTGTGACATCACTGGAAGATTGGAGAAGCAAAATGACACGTCACCATCACTGCTGTCTTCACTCCATTCATAAAATCCTGCTCCCTTCATTAACAAAACCCACAGAAAGCAGCAAGGACAGACGTGGGAAAGTTTGTCACAGACACAGTAGCTGTTGTAGAAATCTGGAATCTAGCACATGTGTGGAGTAAGTCAAAACAACTCTCTAAAACAGATACATTTGCAAAGTTTTGAAAACACAGTTCACAAAATAATTTAATGTAATTATTGAATCTGATTTAAAAAGAAAAAAAAATCACCTTTTATTTTTTTGTTGAGATATAGCAATGAACGGAAACTTTCCAGATATCTAAACCTCTGCTGGAAGTTCACAGAAAGACAGACTGTACACACCGCTAACTAGAGTCTTACTTTGTGCAGATTACAGAATATCCACTTAGAAAAACAACATGACCTTGGGTGCTGGCAGACACTTTCTGAGGCGAAGGCACTTTGAAAACCCAATATGGTTTGGTTCATAAGTTTGCAAGGTACAAACAATTTTACAAACATGTGATTACACCGAAGAACGTCAGCGAGTGTGACATTACATATAAAACACATTCCCGGCTCTCTCTCTCTTTTTTTTAAGAACACTGGTTTTGTGGGAATGAGAGCAGCAGTTTCCAGCGGCCTCAGTGGAGACGGTCCAGACAACTGGAGGCCCACAATCTGAATTTCTTACTGGCCAAGAGGAGGGGTGGCGTGAGGACATTTGAAACGAAAAAAGAAAAAGGAGAAACAAACAAAAAGCAACATCCTGGGACAAAGGCAGAATCTCAGAAATCACAATGGTGCGGAGGGGAGAGCACAGGGCCAGACCCAAGTCCAGGGGAGGGTCCGCGCCCTGGTCCCCCAGCAGTGACCGCCCGCGTAGTGCTGACCGGGCATTCTGGTCTACCTGGGGCTGGCGCTGTAGTGACGACCTGTCTTGGAAAGCTGGGTACACGTTCGGGATTGTACAGTACCAGAAAAACGCAGTCCCCAAAGCAGCAGTTTTTCGCTCCTTACATGGCTGCGAAGTCGATCTGTACGTAAAGCTGTCTCACTCCGGCCTGAAAAGTTAAAAGAAAATCAGAAAATCAAATCAGCTAGTAACAAACTATATAGTTCAGAAAAGTCATTTAAAAAAAAAATCCCATTTTTTGATAAAGGAAATAATTCTTTTTCCTTTTTCTGCCTCTATTTTTCATCATAGAGAATAACAAATATATTCATAAATCACACAAAAAAGTCCCTATTTACCTCTACAAGAGAAAGCCACGCAACCAATGATAAGCGTGTCCATGAGTGTCCGGAAAATGAGGTCACCGTCTGCCAGGAGTAAGGGGCCTCTCTAACGGAATAAAGAGCTGGGCGGCCCGAGGAGCTCCCCACCTTTTTGCCTCATTAAGAAAAGAAACCCTTGCTCTGATCAAATTGAAGCTCTTTGAAATACATTCAATAGCACCCTCTCCTGAAGAGGGTGGCAGAAAAAAAGACAGAACTTAACATCTGTATGATTTTGAGCTTAAGTTAAAACCAATTCACTTATTCTATTTTAAAAGTGTTGATAAAATACCAACCCTACTTATCTCACAAAATTGTTATGTAGTCATCCAGTGTTTGACAAATATTTAATAAATCCTCGCTACATGCCAGGTGCTATTATAAGGATCATGTGTGACATGAGAAAGGATTTCATATGCTCTAATAGGCTATTAAACCAAATTATTATGATTGATTCATTGTATTTGATCTAGTCAATCCATATGGCCCCTAAAATAACTATACTTAGGAACTCTCCTGTAAAATTCTAGTGTATCTAACCTGAAGACAAAACTGGGGCCCAAGTAAACGGTTTAATTTCTTTTCCCTTTTAACAGAACCGTGAATGAAAGCAAAATGGGGGAAACAGGGTAGGCTCCTGTGCGTGTGCAGATACAGAGCTACGGTGATAAGCAATGCTGTAGCTCAAGGCCCTAAGAGAGAAAGAAATGCAAAGAGGAAAGCAAAGGGCTGCTAAATGATCTTTGCATAATCGTGAGTTAATTACTCGCTGTCCCCTGAGGGGCTCAGCTCCCACAGAAGCTCATTCTAAGAGAAGCCCCTCTGCTTCCTCCACTGCCCTCCACCTGTCCCGCTGGGGGCAGCTCCACTGGGCCAGCTTCCCATTCTCCTCTCCCAATTTCCTTTAAAGGAGAGAGAAAGGGAATTTCCAAAGAATGCAAACTAGGGTCCTGTCCAGTTGACTCACTCCAGACACCCGACAATCACCCAGCTGGTCAACGCCATGCCGGACCCCTCAGCAGTCCCACCGCTGGGCTGACGCCCAGAGTCAGGCTGGCTGGGGACTGTCCGCACAGTGGGGACCACAGAACACTCCTGTCTTATATCCTGAGAATAACGCACAAATATAATGCCGCTCATAGGACGCTTGTTTAAACTGGACAGACAGCTAGTTCTTTTTAACACCTATGCGCCCGAGAAAATAAATGTAACCTGGTGCCACAGTCTCAGAACAACCTCACTAAATGCCCGTTGTGGTGAGGAAACACACCGGAAGTAAGTGTGGAAACATAAACAGGAGTGTGGCTACTGAGGATTGCTGGTTGGTTTGTATTCTCTATCAGTTCTCCAAAACTACCAACGCTCTACTAAGTCAGCTCAGAATGAGTGAGCAGTGAATCTGATGAGGTCACAGGTCATGCGCAGTGGCTGGGCTCTGGGCTCCCTTCCCTATAAACTGGGGACAACACTCTTGGGGGGACAGACGGGGCGGTCAGTAAAGGCCGCAGGTGCTATTACCATTCCACCAGGAGCGGCCAACGAACAAACACCTCAACCTGGGGCCCCCCAGCACAAGCCCAGGGATCTGTGGGCTCGCCCCGTGGCTGTTCTCTCCCCTCCTCAGGAGGCCGGGCCGGGACCTGGTGGACCTCAGTCCGTGATGAAGAAAGCAAGCGAAGGGCAGGGAAGGAAAGAGGCAGACTCGCAAGCGAAGTCCATTTATAACCGAGTCAACCCCCCACCAGCAGGTGGGAAAGAGCCGGCCGCCTGGGAAGGGGAGGCAGCTTCTCCCACTGCATGCCGGCCTCCCTCGCAGACACATGGGGCAGCCCGGTGAGACAGGAAGGGGAGTGGGAGCCGGGCCTGGCGGAGGCGGAGGGTCTGAGGCCCCCAGCTGGCCTGTGAGGAGGCTCCGGGTTCCTTCCTGGTATCAGCTGTGACTTCTATTTTGAGGCTAGAGAGTGGGCTAGAAGCAGGAAGCGGGGGCTCAGGGCTTGAAGGCACCACGGAAGCCGGCCAAGGAGAGGTTGGGAGAAATGAGGAGGTTCTACGGGAGCAGATGGCGGGCGGCAGGGCCACCTTCTGTGCTTGGGCAACTGAGGAGGGCATGAGCCCCAAGCACATTCTAGATTTTTCTTCAAACATTATTTCTCACAAAGCAGAAGTGTATTAAAAAACTGACATGATTTTCATTCAGCCAGTTTAAAACTAGAAACATAAAATGTTAAATGGCCTTCCTAACCCAGCGTCCCACTATCTCCTGTTCAAATACTAACCATAAAAAATAAGTTTTCTATTCTCACCAATTCTCAAATGATAACTCATTTTTTTAAGAGTTCGTACAACGGGAGAAAGAAAGGACTTTTTCTATGTCAGTAGGAAACCTTGTAGTTTAAAAAGTGGATTACCACTTAATGAAGACTCCCGAGGGAACCTGGGTACGGAAGAGGCTGCCAATTCCAGATCCATGCCGAGCAGCCAGCGGCTTCAGCCACGGGAGACTAACGGGCGGAAAGGAGGGCGAAGAGGCCAGGTCTGACAGGCAGGTCTAAAACCGTCAGAAAACAGCCTCACAAACAGCATGGAAGGCCATGCTTCTCAGATGTCTGATGTTATCAGGCTTCTCAATTTCCAGTTGTCCTCAGAAATTTTAAGAGCTTTTTAACCAAAAACGATGACTTAAATTCTGATTTAAAAATCAGCTATTAGAGGACACCCAAACAGGTCACAAAGCCAGAGAGTAAACTGATCGCTGAGAAAAGCCTCCTCTGGCCTCTGGGACTAAGGCCGCCAGCATTCCCAGTCTCTGCAGGACACGCACCTAAAGCACTAGCAGGGTTATGGTTGTGAGTCTGATTCCCTCTGATAAGAAAACCTATGAACAGGTATAATTTTAAATGTAAAAATAAGGTTAAAATTTTTTACATTTTATTCATGGAAGGAAACGTTACTGCAAACCCTGGATGAACTAAGAGCACGTGGACATGCATTGCTAGGGCATGAGGAGAAAGGACACGTAAGTGAATAAAGCTTCAATCCTGTTGGTCACAAAAGCACCCTCAAAGCTGCGGAGTGAGAGGCATTAGCGGGGCAACCCCACTCCCCTCTGGGGAAACGTGTGGATCCGTCTGTACCACGGGCCTCAGTCTCTCCAAGGAACGAAATGAAGTTGGCTTGCCCTCAGCTGACAAAAAGGCTTAAAGTATTTTCCAGAGCTTGACATCTTCAAAACCCAAATACAGTTTCCAAAACCAAAGCAGCAGCTGAGTAAACCGTCAGCTCTGGCCATTTGAAAGGCCAGCGCTTGTTGGGTTCCGGGCAGAGCTTCTCCTCCGGTTACAGCCCGCAGCTGCCCCCTCGGTTCTGGCCTGGAAACGCGCCTTCTCAAGGGCAGTGTGACCAGGCCGAGTCCTGGACAGGCCGACAGGGGCTCCACTCTGAGGATGGAAGGGCACGCCCAGGGGAAACTGAGGCTACAGGAGAGAACAGTGATTTGGAAACAGCAGCGAGCTCAGATACCCTGCAGATCTAGCCCGCTTCCCATGTAAGTCACATGACATAGCCTATGTCATATGCTAGCCGCGTGACATAGCCCAGGCCAAATGGGAGTCACACAACGGAGACTTGTTAGTGTCTGTGCACCAAGAGGCCTGGTTCTTCAATCTTCAGCGAGTCCCTGTCACCTGTGGGCGACGATTCATTTAGTCCCAAAGCCTCCGGGCCCACTTTTCTCTTCTGGAGAAGAGCAAGCGCTTGTCTCCGAGAAGGTCCTGAATCTAACTCAGCTGCGGGTCCTGTTTGCTGTCCGTGCCTACAGATACCACGTGTCTCTCTCTTTCTCTCTAATCTAGAATAATCCCCGCCATTGTTTTTCCTTTCATGACATCGACACCTGGTAAGAACCCAGGCTGACGCCCTTGCAGAAGTGCCCACCAGCGGGTCTGGCTGGCTGTGATGCGCTCCGGCTAACCCCGCTGGCAGGAGGGCCGCACTCCCAGGTCTCCAGCACAGACTAGGGCAGGCTATGCGTTTCCTCGGGAGCTCTGTGTTAAGATAGCACTGGCGACCGTGTTGGCATCTAGTTTCTCGCTAAGTATTTCCAGCGAACCAGACCAAGAAAAGAATTTGTGTGTTCTCGCTCTCCCCGTGATGTTCTTGACATAAAGTCTGAATCTCCCAGGACATCCAGAATCACCGTGGCCGCCCTCACGCGGACTGTCGGTCACTGTGCTCACGGCGGCACCAGCGTTCACTGACATAACCACGTTGCCACTGCACTGGCTGCTTCGTGTCCCAAACAGTGAGAAGAGAAACTCCACAGCATGTTAAGCTACTGAACGACACAGACCTGCCGTCAAATAAAAACACTGGCATAGGGTGCTTTTAGCTGAAACCACGGACAAGGCATTATTCTTATCCCAAATGCTATTTAGAATTCCTGGCTTCACACAGCATCTCGCACGTCTTAAAGGAGCATACAGCAAAGGGGAATCCACTTTTTCTTAAAGGAACACAAATCAGTATAACGATGAGGATTAACTAAAAGAAGGATCTCCCAAATTTGACTCTGATTGAAAAAAAAATACATCTATGCTTATTTCATATTGTAGCATATAAGTATAGATGTTATCTATATTTAATGTTAAATAGTAAATATTTTCAAAACGGTAGGTACAATAAATTCTAAGACCATTAAAAGGAGTTAGTGAAAAAGTCATACCTGAGTAAAAATATTATGTGTTTGGCTTAAAATCCACCTGGTGTCAGCGTCAGGTGCTACTACTAACTTCAAGGTCCCGACGTACACGTCAGAACATAAGGTCCAGAAGTGCTGTTCTTGTAAACTGTAGACTCCTTGTAAGTGCTGCACCTGCAACAGAAAGACCAGGATTAACACCCTCAGGCGCAGGGGCTCCTCCCACTGTGATCCCTATGCAGCATGTCCGTTCGCACGGATTCTCCCCGCTAGCAAACAAGGCGGGTGTTTGAATCCATGAAAACCTGGGACTCGTGTGCCCGGCACCGTGACAGGCAGGTGTTTGGGAAACTGCAATGAACACATGCTGAAATCTGTCAGGCACAGCTGAGAGTTCCTGGGAGAAATTTACGTGTTCAAATACATCAGTCAGAGAACAAACAGGAACACAAGTGAGCTAAGAAATAGGGAAATAACAACAAAGTAAACTCAAAGAAATAAGAAGGAAATAAAAGGCCGAAATCAATGATCCAGAGAGACAAGGAGAGAGAACTCACAAGATGGAAAAACTAGTCTTTTGAAAAGGTCAGTGAACTGGAGCCAGTGTTTCTTTTTTTCTTTTTAATTGATTGGTGAGAGAGAGAGAGAGAGAGCGAGAGAGAGAGAAACACCGATGTGTTGTCCCACTTATTGATGCGCTTGCTCGTTGGTTGATTCCTGTATGTGGCCTGACCAGTGATCGAACCCACAAGCTTGGTGCCTGGGACGACACTCTTCCAGCCTAAAGCGTCTGATGCTCCCACTTCATCACCTAAATCTAACTTCTCAGCACGACCCAAGTCTGGGCCTGCCCTGTCCCCTGCCCCACTCCCAACTTCCCGCCACCTTCCCTTCACCAGGCCTCAGCACGTGGCCTTTCTCTTCCTCAAACACACTCGTTCCCCCCACACGACTTCTGCATCACCATTTCTCAACCCTTAAAGGCCTAACGCGTGGCAGCAGCACGGCCTGGGGCCGCGGCCAAGACTCACCCGCTGGTAGCACTGCGGCAGGGCGCCCTCCAGCTGCGGCGGCGTCCGCTGCATCAGCACGCCCACCGACTCCCGCAGGAGAGGGATGACACTGGGGAGAAGGACGCAGGTGATTAGAGCCGCGTCCTGAGGGCCTGGCCTGGAGAGCATCGAGTACCCCCCCCCCTGCAGTGGGACGTGGTCAGGTTTATCAGAGAAATATGAAGGTGTTCATGTGATCAATAAGCTATTATCTAAAGTAAAAGTAAAGCGCTAATTAACGGGTCAAAGTCTTAGCCACAAAACTTGCAGGACCGAACAAGTAGTGCATCCGAGATCTAAACCAGCAGTGAGCCCACTGTTATTTAAACAGACTTCAGTCTCCAAGGCAACTCACGAAGCGCCTTTATCAATAGTCCACACATGCTCGATAGTGCTGTTAAGGAAAATACAAAACACGGATACGGGCATCCTAGTCCAGCGGTTACTATTTCTCCAACCCGATTATGTGTGTCTTCTTTCATTACTTAAACCTGGGGAGGGGAACCTTTTTTGCTGCTCATGACAGAGATGGCAACAGTGACGCGATGTCACTCCTAAGGCAGGTGACGCTCCGGCTTCCGCCTCCTTCGCCCTCCTCGCCGGCTCTCAGGTGCTGGCTCCCAGCGGAGGATGCCCCTGGAGAGGACCGAGACCCTCAGTGCGGAAGCCCGACCCCACTCAATACTGCCAGCCACCACAGAGTGACCTGGAGTGGGTTCTCCCCAGGTGGCCTGGCTGACTCCCAGGTCACGGCTTTGGGAGAGACCCTGAGCCCGAGAGCCCGCGAGCCACGCCCAGGCTCCTGAACCAAGGCCAACCAGAGAGAGCATGTTTCTGTGGCGCCTAGGCTTCTGTGTAGCATGTTATGCGCCCATGGGTAACGGATACACGCGCTCTTTAGAAAGCTGCCAGACCATCTATCCAAAGCCAGAGTCTGAGCCTCTCCCTTCCCCGTGAGAAACCTGTCCCAAGCTCCGGGCTGCCGGGGAAGTGCCAGCTCCTCCACGGGGCAGGTTTCTGGCTCCGGGTCTCTAGCTTCACCTCCTATCACCCCTGCCTCCCAGCTTAAGCTCTGAACGTAAACCTACTTGTACTTCGCTCTCCACTGGTTCTGCCTTTCATGCTTTGGCTCAGGCGTAAGCTCTGCCTAACAGTGATGGCGAACCTTCTGAGCTCGGCGTGTCAGCATTTTGGAAAACCCTAACTTAACTCTGGTGCCGTGTCACATATAGAAATTTTTTGATCTTTGCAACCATAGTAAAACAAAGATTTATATTTTTGATATTTATTTTATATATTTAAACGCCATTTAACAAAGAAAAATCAACCAAAAAAATGAGTTCACGTGTCACCTCTGACACACATGCCATAGGTTCGCCAGCGATCACTGCCCTAAACGGCCCTCTATTCCTTCTTTAAAACCTCAAGTGTCACCCCTTTTAGGGCATCTTTTCTGATCCCAAACTGTCCTCCAAACTGCAGGGAATGTCCTCCGCTCCTACGGAGGTTGGAGGGAAGTGGGCAGCTGGAAGTGGGGATGAGGGTTCTGCAGCCCTAACCACCCTCTGATCCGGGCGAGGTGGCTGCTTCATCCACTGCGCTGTCACCACAGGCGAGGACCCCGCGGTGCAGAAAAAGGCCAAGAAAAGCATGCAGTGACTGCAAGGCAACCAGGTGACGCCTTCCTTCCCTCTCCATCCTCATTCTCAGCAAACGGCTCCCGGCGGCTGCTCTCACGCTCACTGGCAATCCCCGTGTTCCTCCCTCCACACTGTCCTTCTCAGAAGCACGCACCAACACAGCGCCCCTAGAACCACTCCAGAAGAAATAAGCGGGGGTTCTCCCTATCCCGCTTAACTTCTGCTACTTGGTAGCTGGTTCTCCAATCTGTACCCCAAGGATCTGCTGATGCCTGGAGATGTTGGTGGAGACCATGACCGTCACAATGTAAGGAATTACACGGGGAGCGTGTCCTTTTAGTAAGGGTCTGTCGAGGTGTTGTGACTTTGCTGCCCGAGAACATCTGGAACGGTGGCCTGTTTAGACAGAATTTTAACGAAATGCTTACATTCCACAGCAGCGAGCAGGTCGCCAAAGCGCATGGATGCACGGTCCTTTTTCTCGAATGAGAATATTAGAGCCATGGAAGAATTTCAGCTGCAGGAGCTGTAACTAAGTCGCGAAGCCGCGGTGGGGAGAAAAGAGAGCTTGCTACATCACACGGGGAAATTCCATTCAGAACCAAGGTCAATTTCTATAATAATTTCAAATGCCATAACTATGTAAAAGAAACCTGTAGAAACTCTAGCTTTGTCTTTAAAATTGTGTTTAGCTCAGGAGTTTGGGTCCATATTTTTCTGATTAACTATTGTGAAGGGGACTGGTAAAGTAGACTTGAGCATGAGTGTATCTAGCCATAATGAAAGGATAGATATGGGGAAAACGACAAGCGTAGCAAATTCCTGACTGAGCTCAGGCTCAGAGCTGCCCCAAACCCCAAAAGTAAGCATTTGGAAACAATTAGAGGTTCGCTTCTGGTTGACTACTCGATTCCAGCTTTAACAATGCAGCGCCGCCTTCCTAGCCGACACAGAAAGGAATGAATCATTTGCTCTGAGTTTACCAGTAAAACAGCGTAATGGCTTTATTCTTCAAGAGCTGAAGGCAAATCAAATTTATAATCATACGATCTTAAGTGTAAATTCAAATGTGACAGCGGAAATCCTAGCAGACTAAATAAGCACGTTAGTCATTATTCTCTATGGCTAGTAATTTTGCGAATGAAATACATTCAGATCTTACTTCAAAAGCGGCTTTTGTGGAAGAGCCTCCCCTTCCAACAGGAGGGTCCGGCAGGAAACTTCTGAACACCCGCCCGGTGATGATCATGTGTAACAACAGGAACTGAAACTGCTTAGACCTGAGAATAAATACCTAATAGTAACGACTGAAACATAATTCCTACTTCAGCTCCTTTATCTGGCTTCTGAGCCAAGTCCTCCTGCACGTTATCAGTGGTGCTTATAATAGACACACACAGAGAAAGATAGTTGTACTTCTTAGAAGAACGCACACATGTGAAGGCCTGGTGTATGTCACATACTCCAAAATGTTTAGTGGACAAAAAAGCCAAAAAAAAAAAACTGACCCAAAATTGTAATGTACCCTCCACTAAGCCGTGTGGTCCTGTGGCGGGAGTTGAGATGCTGTCACTTTTGCATAAATACAAGTATTCCGTGGTAATAGACAATGACTATTAACCCAGAATTTCCTAAGCCTAACATAGAACAGATAACCCCAAACCACAAGGCCAGTGGCTTACCTTACAATTATACTAAGTTTCCAGGCCAGTGGCTTACCAGTGCATCTAGAGAGGACCTACTGTATCAGTAATGGAAGGAGATGCCCTGAAATACCCTCAACTTGGAGCCCAGCCACGAAAAGGTCGCCTTTTCCTGAAACTTCTGGAACTCAGCTGTAACATGTCACGCATCTGATCTTTAAACCGAAAGCATTAGTAAATAATGCCAAGTTGTAAACAATTAGCAGCGTCTTTGTTTAGACAACACTTAATAATTCTTAAAGTGCTTTCATACATTTTCCTCACTTGATCCTCACGGCGGCCTTAAGTGACCGTAAGGCAATGCTGGAATCACTGTCAGGTCTTCTTTTGTGACCTGACATGTAGCTATCGGGGGGACACTCGGCGTGGGTGTGAGAAGAATGAGTGTCTGCTGTGGTTGGGTGGAGTGGTTCGTATCTGGCTGCGAGGCATGGGCCTCAGGCTGTTCAAGTCTTCGCTTTCCTTGCTGTACCTCTATGTGACTGACTGACTGACTGACTGACTGATTCCTCCGCTGCCTCAGCCATTTTTTAAGTTCCGTATCTGAGTTCACTGCTTCTTCCTTCTGCCTGGCCAAACCTGCTGTTGCGTCCCTCCGGGGAAATCAATGCAGTTATTACCATCCTTCAGTTCCAGAATGTCTGCTGGGCTCTCCTCAATAGATTCTCTCCCTCGGCTGATATTCCCATTTTGTTCATGTACCGTTTTTCTGCTTTTGTTTCGTGTCTGTGCTTTCTTTCCATCAACTGGGCACCCTTCTGATGGTAATTTTGAATTCTGTATCCGGCTATTGATATGTCTCCTTTTTGTAGGCTTGGCTTCTGGAGGCTGAATCGTTTCCTTTAAATGTAACATAGTTGGCCGTTTCTTTGTATCTCTTATTTTTTTGTTTGGGTTTCAGTATCTGAAGAATCAGCCACGACTCTAGACTTTGTGGTCTGGCTTCTTAAGGGAGGTCTTCCTCTACGTAGCCTGGCGGGAGATCCTGAGACCTCTGAGTCTTGTCTGGCCCCGTGTCTTGTCTGGCAGGTGCATGGTGTATCCTATTGGAAAAGTTGATGGCTTCTACTCAAGAGTTCTTGTCTGCAATACTAGGCCTTCTGCAGCGGCAGGAAATCAGTCCTAGGGTTCCACCTGGAGTCTGTCGGTGGTACTGCAAAGTCTAATGTATGGTTGGTGTCTTTGCACCTGCCAGTTTGGGCATCTCTCATGTTATTGGCTAATGATCACTAACACACTACTGCACTGGCTCTGTGCTTTCGAATGTTTCCAGGACTGCTTGCCAGGAACCTTACGTGACCTTAAGATGTTAGAATCACTGTTAGGTCTTCTTTTGTGACCTGACATGTAGTCGGTCAGGGAGAACACTCCATGTGCCAGCCTTGCTTCAACTGAGCCATCGAACAGAGGAATGACCTGAGTGACATTTCTCAGTTCCCCCAAGGACAGTGCACGATCAGTATTTCCTAGAGGTGTAGGTGAGAAGCTAACAGTCACATACACATGGATGCTGTAACGTATTAGGGCAGCGGTCGCCAATCGGTGGTCTGTGGACCACTGGTGGTCCATGAGGTCCAAAAGGTTGGTGACAACTGTATTAGGGCATTCCCAGAATGATGTTTGAGAAAGGGTGTTAGACGAATCAGTACTTACAAATGTTCTCTCATGGCTTTATATAAGATTAAAAATTACAATTACTAGGCGAAAATGTTCCCACTGTGGATACACATACAAGCACCAAGTTAAAATCCTGAGAAACTCTATCTTAGTTCCGAAAAGTACAGTTCTCAAATGATACCCACTTGAAAGGCAAACCACAAAGGAAGCTTTCAGACACCACCCAAAGCCATTTCTTAAAAAAAAAGTCTATCTCCACAATTTCTCATAAATGATATGGTAGCTTTTTACATGTTAAAAAAAATGCTTAGGTTTACTTAATACCAGCTACGAATAATTACCTATTTGACCACAGAATCAACAAGATTTATCAAAACCAGTATCTGGTCCAAATCCTATCTTCATGAACATGGATGATCATCTATGATTTAGAATTTCAAATTCATAATTTGATTTCACTAGTATACATGCTTTCCATCCCATACCTCTCTTATGACCATTATCTGTCATTTCTAAAGCCTATTGCCCTAGTTTGCCTCTAAAAGTTGAGCTATTTGTGTCTTCAATATGACAAGAAGGAAAAGATTGAAAAGTTTTGCACCTTTTCTTTATATTAACAAATGATTACGGTTAAATGGCACAAAGCAGCATGAGATGGTACCTGGTGAGCTACAGAAAACTAATTTAAACCATTTCAGCAAGGCTTTGGAAATACCACCCAGTACCAGCTCATTTCTGCATCCTGTTTGTGTGTTTTTTCCCATCATGCATAGGTACCCCTTTTATTTAAGTAACTCAGAAATCAAGCCACAGATCTGGGCAAAGGGCATCGTTTTAAAGAGAAATTCAGTTACTACTGGCTGTTCAAAGGTCTGCATCTAAGTCACGAATCTACTCTCCATTCCAATTCAGCTGCTGATGGGAAAAAGGAGCAAAGCCATTCTGAAGCCTCTTGCGAGAAGCGTCCATTTTCAGAAGATAACAACTGCACTCTCATTGTCACACTCAATCTGCTGCTTTCCTGGGAAACGAAATTCATCACAGCACCACCCAGTCTTACCCAGAAATATCTATCACCATTGGCCCGCGCTAGGAAATGTGGGGAGAAGAACTGTCTTTTTCTAAGCAATCACTTTCGCTGCGCAAGTGAAAATGGGACATTGGGCAGGCGGCCTGGAAGGGAGACATCCATTTCCATGGCAGGCTCTCCACTGAGGAACATTTACATGCAGAGAATGTATCAAGTCCCATTAGTTCTTTTGCTCTTGATGAATTGCAAATATATATAAAAATTAAGGGTAAGGGAAAATGACTCCTTTATACTCTATTTTGTTGTGGCTGTAAAGGGTTTTCATTTATTTTCTAAAATTGGCTTTGGCTAATCAGGCAAAGTCTTTAGACCAATTTGAAAAACATCTCAGAGTGATCTTGCAAATATTTCATTATCATGTGAACATTTACGTAAATTAAGTTTGCTTTCTTAACAGAAAAGTAGATAATTGGAATGTCTTTATTTTGCACTTTGAAGCTAAAGGTTTTTTATTGCCCTCCATTTAAAAAAAATGATGTTTTTTTAAGGTCAAGTCAGAAATGTTGGTTTGCCTTGAAGACATTAAGGAAGAGCATAATTTTATAATTATACCTGGAGA